GAGCTTATCTCTCTGGAAGTGCATGTGGCATTCGACTTGCTTGCTGTACATAGTCGCTACTGAGAATCAATCTCTCAATGCCCATAAACTCATATTTGAACAGCGAAGGAATTGGTGAATCCGAAACAGGTGATGGCATTAATATGATTTCCAGACTTTACAGCTTATTGTTATCTTAATCAAAGATTAAGAACTTTTTGAGCATAAGTCACTAGTTCGATTACTAATTCTGTAATCACTTCGCTTTTATGTCATTAATTTGGTTACTAATTTTGTTTCCTTTAAGAGAGATCACTTTCAAGTAAGTTTCTCTTGGACCTGAACCAACTGCCAAGTCATTCTCAAGAAATGGAAGTTCCTTCGATGGAAATTTCAGACTCTAAACATGACGCTAAACAACAAAGGGAGGAAAACATTCATGCAGTCGAAACTAATGGTAGCCAGTTTCTCTTGGACCTGAACAAACTGCCAAATCAAATGGAGGAGGAACACATTCATGGACCCGAAACTAATGGTACCTAATTATATCTTTAGATTAACATTGTATTCACATGACTTGGAAGATTTTTATCTGTATTTCTTTATACACAGTACAAATATTACTTGCATATGTGTGCGTGTGTGTAGGCTACTATCCATCATTGATTTTTAATTTTATCTGCTTCTTTTATAATTTTGAGACTATGACTTCTTATGGTAATCATATCTATATATATATAGAGGTTATGTCCTGCTCTGTGTTCTGCTTATTTGGAGCTGCTCTGTGTTCTGCTCTGTGTTCATTTTTGTTAATTTTAATTTTTTATGCTTTGTTACTTTTGTCTCTCCTGGTTAATAAAATTTGCAAAAGTACTATTGGGTATCATGGAATAGGCAAACACCATAGGTTCTTGAGTAATGAAGACCGCAGAGCCATCTCCTATCTCCTATTGAGTCAAGATGGGAAACTAATTAAAGGGGCTAAGAAGAAGGTTGCATCAATGTATTCAGTATCCAGTTCTGTCATTAAACGTATTTGGCAAAAAACAAAGGTTGGGGATGGTGCATGTCATGGAAAAACAGGAAATTGTGGTCGCAAGAGAGTTGAACTTCACACTGATCAATTTCTTCAAGTTCATTTTGCTAAGAGAACCACCTTGCGAGATTTGTCCTGTGCACTGAATATAAATAAAACCTCTTTAGTTAGGCTTCAAAAGAAGGGAGTTATCCAACGTCGCTCTAATGCCATTAAGCCATATTTGAGGGAAGAGAATAAGATTGCTCAACTAAAGTTTTGTTTGTCCATGATTGAAAATGGTTCAGTGCCAGGAGATCTAACTTTTAAAAGCATGTATAATGTAGTTCACATTGATGAGAAATGGTTCTATATGACAAAAAAGACTGTGAACTATTACATGCTATCAATAGAAAATGATCCATTACGTACTGTGCAAAACAAAAACTTTATTGGAAAGGTGATGTTCTTGGTTGCTGTTGCCCGCCTAAGGTTTGACTGCAAAGGCAATGAAAATTTCTTCGGGAAAATTGGAGTCTTTCCTTTAGTGACAAAAGAGCCAGCAAAGAGAAAGAGTGTCAATAGACCTACAGGTTCATTGATAACAAAGCCTATAACTTCAGTTACGAGAGAAGTTAGTAGGCAGTTTCTTATTGGACATGTTGTGCCCGCTATAAAAGCAAAGTGGCCTAGAGATTCAATAGGGGAGCCGATTTATATTCAACAGGATAATGCAAGGTGTCACATTGATCCAAATGACAGTGAGTTCCATCGAGTTGCCACAGAAGATGGGTTTTGCATCCGCTTGATGAACCAACCTCCTAATTCTCCTGACTTGAATATTCTAGATCTTGGCTTCTTTAATGGCATACAATCTTTACAGTACAAGGAAACACCAAAAACAACTGATGATTTGATTGCGGCAGTGATTAGATCATTTGAATCATTTCCATCCACTAAGTCTAACAAAATATTCTTAACTCTTCAATGTTGCATGGTAGAAATCTTGAAGGACAAAGGTTCTAATAAATATGATCTTCCACATATAAGAAAAGAAGTCATGAAAAAGGAAGGTCCACTACCAAATCAAATAAAGTGTGATCCAAAGTTAGTACAAGAAGTGATGGAGTATTTGAGGTAATTTTTCCTTTCTTTGAATATTTCTTCTGTTTTTTTTTTGTCTTGTTCTTTTGGTTAATATGTATGCATTGTGTTTAAATTTTGTGTGTTGGATAATTCATAGCTGTGGCAATATTGGATGATTCAATGGCAAACTGGTCTTTGGCTTCAACTACTAACTGGTGCAAAACAAGAACTCACCGGTCACCACCTCGTTGAGATTGAAGAATGGGGTTTCATTTTTTATGTTTCTAAAAACTTGAAGATTTATTCTGTGTTGTTTGATGGATATTCTAGAGTGATTGACAAATGCATAAGATATAGGAAGTTCAGAATTGCTTAGGTATTTCTTGATGTTGTTTATATATTTTTTTTTATAAAGGTTGTTTCTATATTTTTGACAGTTCTACTTATTGTTCTGGCTTTTCATACTGTCATCAGAATTTATAATATTCTGTGCACAAAGAACTATTTAGCCCCTCAAATTAATGAAACCCCCCACATTATGGTATTTGATGGTTATCATTTCTGGAGAATTTACAAATTCACAAAGTCCATCTAACAATTTTTTATGTGGTTTATATATTTTTTTAAAATGAATTATTCATAGATTTAAAATGAATTTTCTTACAGTCATGATGCGCCAGTTTATAAATTTAAAACAATTTTTTAATGCCCAGGACTTCATTTTTCTATCATTTTCTGTCTTTTTTTTCAGATATAAATTAAAATTTAACAATTTGAGTCATTTATATATTTATTTAATAATTTAAAAGTGTATTAATATATTTATAAAATATTAAAACTAACCTAATCAAATTTTAATTCAAAAATGACAAGTGGAGAGCGGAAGTAAAATTTTTTCGTAAGTAATTACTAGTATTATGGTTATATTTGACTTTAGTTAATGTAATACAAGCAAGGGTAATTTGGGAAAAAAGAACAAAAATAAGAGACAAAGTGGATAGGGGTCTTATATTTAGGACCAAACTAAAAGTCAAATTGGGTCTTATAATTAGGACCGGAGGTAGTATTATACTAATACCATATTTAATATAAATTAATTTTTTAATTTTCTTTTATTTTATTTGTGTTGGTTCAATCATGCTTCTATATTTAAAAACAACTACATATAATTGTTGTTTTACCTCATATATAAAACAAATCTTTCAATGTTTTAAGAAAGTTCAAATTTATTTTTCCCCTCTGACAACCTGAAATAGTTAGGTAAAATTAGAGCCAAACGGTTTTTGCCGGTTTTAATTTAGATATATGCACATAAATATGTTAAGGCTAGACTCGAGCCTTATACCTCATTTAAAGTGTAGCGGTTGGTGCTCTCACCAGATCAATTTGTTGACAAGTTACTGTGGTTTAGAAGTGCGAATCAAATTGAAATCTAATCTGCTGAGCAGTCAGCACATGCACCTCATTACTTCTTCTGTTGAAATTTGCTGAAATAATTCGTTATTAAATAATTAAGAAAAGTCACACATTCCGAAAATGATAGGAAAAAAATAGTCAAAGGACAAGATCTTCTATCAAATATATGCATGTGACGGTATTTTAACAACAAAGTCGGGGCAAAAAGGATTCCAAATTTAGGACATTGTGAATATTTGTGATTGTATGACAGAACTCAAAAAAAGCACAATGTTGCTGTCAAAACCTACTCAAACTTTTCATATTCGTCATCGTCTCAAAACCTATATAACCCCTCACAAAGTTACAACGTGAAGCAGATACAAAGGCAAAAGGGTCTAAAGAGGTGAAAAACAGCATCCTACATTAATCAAATCCGTGTAGACATGCAACCAGAAGACGAGATGAGTAGCAGGGCCGAAGTTATTATATTCTCTTTCGGTTGATTGGAAGACGAAATCTAATAATATAGCAAATCTAATACAACATATATATTAAAAGATGTAAAGAAAATTTTATTTTATGCAGAAAAATTAATCAGCAAGTCTTTATAATTTGCTTTAATTTTAAATCAATCAGGTCTCTGTAGCTTTTCTTTTTTGGAATTAAACTTTTATAGTTTAATCCATTATGGGCATTCATCCTTAAATGTAAGAATTATTAATTTTAATTTCAGATTTGATTTAAAATTGATGAAAACGGACTTGTGGATTAAGTTTTCCCTTTATTTATCATACAAGAAAATTAGGTATGTCAAAATATATAAAATTTGAGAATAAAAATCAATTTGGGCATAGTAGTGATGCTGACCTTGATTTATGCATAAGATGCCCAATGTTGACGTTTCAGTTGAATCTAACTGTGACGCAATGCAAGAAAAGGATAGAACTATATGCGCACACATATATTTATGCATGTATGTGCGTGTGTGATCTTTTTCAATGACTGGACTGACAAAATTCCATCTCATTATATAGGACTAAATCTACTACAGCGGCTCATCTCCTTCATTTATAATTTGCTCGGTATGTATGCTCAAAAGTTCCCCAAAACTTAAACTAGTTATTTTTAAGATTTTTGTTCTCGTGATTAAACTCGACCAATATTAAGTTGTATTTGAATTTACCAACTGTCCAGGGATGAAGGAAATACATAAGCTCAAGATGCAACATACACGAGCAACTGAAATTCTAGAGCTGGCTTGTAAGAATCTGACATTTCTGAATGAAGATAAAAAGCTTATGATTCGAAAAGCACTGTTGGCGGCTGCTAAATCAGGGAATGTTGAGTTTTTTAAGAAGATATCAACAGAAAACCCAGAATTAATCTCAATGGTCACTTTTTCCCAACAAAAGGTGAATGCCTTCTTCAGTGCCATTAAATATCATCCAGCTGAGATTTTTAACCTCCTCTGGACTATTTCAAAGAAAACCATAAAGAACTCAGGAACAATGGCGAGAATTGGATGAAAGATACTGCAACTTCTTGCTCAGTTGTTGGTGCTCTAATTGTCACCATTATGTTTGCTGCAGATTTTACTGTTCCTGGTGGAAATGATCAAACATCTGGGCACCCAATATTTTTGAAGGAAAAGTTGTTCAGAGTTTTCTTAATTTTAGATGCAGTGTCCTTTGCTTCTACTTCTTCTGTGCTTACATTTTTAGGAATTCTTACGTCACATTATGTAGAAGATGACTTCCTTTACTCCTTATCTACAAAATTGATCATAGGCCTCTCTGCACTTTTTCTCTCAATTGCAACTATGATGATAGCCTTTTCCTCAGCAATAATCATCATGTCGCAACAGAACTCATCACCTTTTTGGGCTTTTCTTCCTGTTATTATGCTTGCTAGCGTGCCCATAACTATATTTGTTTTATTACAGTTCCCTCTTCTTGTTGATACAATTTATTCTACTTATGGTCCATGCATCTTCCGGAAGGTGGAGAACTGGTCATGAAATGTGTGTGTACTTCACATCTTAGTACTTCATGTATTTTCTGTTGAATAAGAAATTCTTCATCCCCTCGAGTGTAAAGCACCTGGTTTTATTTTTAGCTTCAGTAAGGGCATAAGTTGGAGATGGGTGTGTATCATCAACCTTTGCACATTCAGAACATAAACATGTTGATGTCTGAATATGCCAGATTAATTAATTTTAAAGTAGTGTATGCTTTTTAGTTTGCTTTATCCCAAATCTCCATTTTCTCAAAGACTCTAATAATCATGCTTTTGGAAATATATCAGGATACATGGGCCTATTACAAGATATGATGCGCCTGTTATAGTTTGAATAACCCAAATAAAGTTGAACCATTTAATTTTGAATTAATAAAAAGTGTAATAGTCTAATTTTATTCATGAGCATTTTTCCATCAATAATAAGAAATTTCAGTAAGCAAAAACTTACAGTTGAGATTTTTTAAATTCAAATTTAAGATATTAAAATCATTAATATAATAAAATATAAAATTTGATATTCTTTATTAAAATCTTGAACTAATTAATATCACAAAAAATCACCAACATTTCTTGGTTCTATGAGTGTGTGTGTGTGTGTGTGAGAGAGAGAGAGAGAGAGAGATCGAGCGATTCCCTCTAAGCCTTAAAAATCAAGCCAATGATCATTCCTTTCAAGTAAGATAGAGGGTATGGTGATCGGTGAATGTTAACATGAATTATAGTACATCAAGTGGTTGAGTTTCTTTATTATATTGCTGAAAGATAATTCGTCATGAACATGAATTTTGATTTTTGACTACATCGCGATCAAGCTCCTCAACAACTATTAAAGTCCTAGCGCAATATTAGAAACTACTCATTCCATGATTGCGTTAGGATGTACTACCTCCGGTTCTAATTATAAAAGCTAGTTGACTAATTTAAGGAGATTAAGGAGAAAAGTTAAGTTAGTTATTTATAATGAATTGGTGTTGTCTTTTCTAAAATATCTTTACGAATCAAGTATATTGACTAGAACTATCATTATTAGAAGGATTTCTTGGGGAAAAAAATGCATAAATATGAAAGACAAAGTGGATTTGGGTCTTATATTTAAGACCAAAATAAAGGTCAAACAAGATTTTATATTAAGGATAGGAGGTAGTAAAAAATTAAATACTTTATTAACACACAAATATATACGTAGGAAATTATGATTTTTTATTATACTATTATTAGTATTGGTAATTGATTGTTTATTTATTTTTTGAAAAAAAATATAGGAGATAGAGCGGGTGGTGCATCCTGTTCTAAACAAAAGAAATCCTCGAGACCTGTTCAAAGGATGGCACAATGAAATTAATTAGGAATGAAAGAGAGAAATGCATGGAAGATATTGCATCTTCATATTCAGTAATTGGAGCTTTAATTGTCACCCTAGTTTTTACTATTCGGGGTGGCAATATCAATATCAGGGTGCTCAATATTTTCAAAAGAAAAGTTATCTACATTTTTCCTAACTTCGGATGCATTATCATTGTTTCCTTCTACTACTGATCGCAATGCATAAGAACGAGCAACACGAGCATGACAACAATTCTCTGATTGAAGCACTTTTTATTACATACTACCTTCGGTCCTCAATATAAGAGCTAGTTGACTAATTTAAGTAAATTAAGAAAATTAGTTAAGTTAGTTATTTGTAATAAATAGATGTTGTCTTCTCTAAAATACTCTTACTAATCAAATGTCATTTGATAAAACATTTAATATGTGCGATTAATACAAGGACTGCCTTAGGAAAAATAGATAAATATGAGAGATAAAATGGACTGGAATCTTATATTTAGGACCAAATTAAAAGTCAAACTAACTCTTATATTAAAGACCGAAGGGAGTAATATGAAGTTTATATAACATCCACAAAGACACACTGCACTTAAATATTTGAGTCTCTATCAATTTCTTTAAGAAATTGACCATGTTAATTTGAATAAAAGAAAAAGATACAATAATGTGAGGTTCACCATCTCACACACATTGTACTTTTGTTCACTGAAATTAACACCTTAATTGAGATGCTGTAAGAAATCAACGAGACTCAAATCCTATAACACAAATATCTAAAAATACAAATAAGATCAATATATAGTAGAGCGAAAGATATGGCTACTACTGGGTAATGAGATGAGCATCAATGTGTCTGGCAAGTTCAGCAGCCAGAATGTGACCTTTCAGCTTCTCATATTCCATAATGGCATGCACCAAACTCCCTTTATCCTTTGGAATTGCGTGAAAGGCAACATTCAGGGTCTTGAAATCCTTGAGGACATCTCTCTTCACAACGCTCAAAGTGATCAGATTCTTGTCTGCATCTATGGCTTCAATCACCAGCTTAGCCACACAGCTTTTTCCTTCTGCACAATAATTAAATACACCAACCAGAGAAAGAGAGAAACGTTAATTAACTGAATTAATTGTTTATGTGACACACAAAGAGAGAGAGAGAGAGAGAGAGAGAGGGGTAGTTGAGAAGTTTATTATAGTTTTATAGTTTGGGAAATGATCAATACTATCAATATTTAATTATTTATAGTATTATTCAAAAATAAACTTCTCCGTCAAGTTCGACTGTTTATTTATAGTACATACGTTGATAACCTTTGTGATAAGAAAATGTCGTTGATGCCTACTAATTAATGGTTGAAACAATAAAAAGTTTACGTTATTTTAAGTCATGCGTATTGAAATCGTAGAGAACCAGGGCATATACTCAGCTTAATTAGCCCAAATCCAAACGGGCATAAACAGTGAAACATGATGGAGAGGTTTAGAACTCTGGTGCAAAAATTACTGAAAGCAGAGATTTGCAGAGGATGATATGGCGCATTTTAGTGAATTGATGATTATCAATTCAAATCCAAGCGATTTGCTTCACCAACGCTCCAGATTGTGCCACGTCAAGCATTCCGCAATTGGTAAACACTTTTATGCCCTTTTTTTTTTCCCCCATTCCTTGCTTCCTGTCTGCTTGAGATCTATTGCTTTCAATTTAAAGGAACTTAAAGCATATGGTGTGCTGTCTTGAACTTTCGAGTTTTTTTTTCCCCCAAGAGAAAGTCGAGTTTTTTTTTTCTTTTTCCTGTTGGTGACATATCACGATCCTTTACTTAGTCCCCAGTTATCTATTAAATATCTTGAGCAATACGTTCACGTAGAGTATAAACGAAAAGGCTATAAATACAGAATGTGTGCAGAGCTAGCGAAGTGCTAGCGAGCTGATCGAAAAAGAAGTAACAAGCCATATATAGCCACAACAAATTCTTATGGAGCAAGCAACAACTGGTAAGCGCAATTAATATATTTGTTTATTTCGCCGAAATGTGTATTTTAATTTCTCAAACTGTAAGAGTTGGTGATTAAAGTGATGAGGAGAGAGGAACAAGATTTAGATACGGGTGCGTATTGTGTTCAAGGCTATATTATTTCTTTAGATGTAGCGAAGTGAATGAATATTCAATTCTGTACGCTCAGATATAAAAATGCATATGATTTGTGGGTTCATATATGTTTGTATATCTAATGTAAAAGCTAGTTGACTAATTTGAATAGATTAATGGTCCATTTGGTAGGATAAAGATGGAGAGAAGAGAAGGGGAGAAAAAATTTTAATGAACTCGATTTAAAAAATTGAAAGAATGGGTTAAAAACTTTAAAACTCTTATCTTATGTTTTTTCTCTATCAAAATTTTATAACGCCACCTCTCCAATTTTTAAAATCTAACTCATTAAAATTTTTTCTCACCTCCCCTCCCTTCCAATTCCCTCATACCAAACATAGGATAAGAAAATTGGTTAAGTTAGTTATTTGTAATAAATAGGTATTATCTTTCTTAAAATATCCTTACTAATTATGTGTATTAGCTAGAATTGTTATTTGAAGATACATTTAACCTGTGTAACTACTACAAGGACTATCTTAGGAAAAATAGATAAATATAAAAGACAAAGTGAGTTGAAGTCTTGTACTAAGTTGAACATCAAACTAGCTAAGTATCGGAGGTCATATATAATATATTATCCCTCACTGATCGGCATTTTGGAAGTGGATTGAGCGAGGGATAGGGAATATTACTACATGATTCCCACTTTCAATATTATTCTCATTGGATTTATCTATATACTATATCCGTTCTCTTAATTAATATAATGCGTGTGTTTTGGTGATTACAGCAGTAGATGAATTAGAGATGGGCATTGTGTACAAGGCCATATCTGAGAACAACTGGTCGGCCGTGAAAGCATTCATTGATCGCCATCCTCAGGTACTGAACGTAGATTCTGCAACTTCAATGGGCGGAACACCTCTTCATGTGGCAGCAAAGTTTGGGCATCTACGCATAGTAGAGGAGCTGGTGGCATTAGTTGCACAGGAATATCTTGTAATACGCGATGGTTCTGGTTTTACTCCTCTTGCCATAGCTGCATCGCATGGCGGCCCCATCCCAGTTGCAAGATGCTTGGTCAACAAAAATAGCATTGCACTCACAATTCCAGCTCAAGGGAATTGGACCATTCCTGTTTCCGTGACTTTTATTTCTGGCCACAAGCTAATGGGACGTTATCTCTATTCTGTCACTCAACCATTGCAAGTCTTCAGACCAGAGAACGGCCAAGTGGGTCCTACGTTCCTCCATATCTGTTTGAGAATTGGACAATAGGGTAATATATATATAATGTTATACACAAACTAAAGCATTATAATATTTGTTTCATTTCATTTTCATTTTGGCATTGCGTCTCATCATACTATATGATTTTGATACATAATAACAGATATTGCCTTGCATTTACTCCAACGATGCACGGAGCTGCTTTTTGCTGCTGACTCATGCGGGTTCCCAACAATTGAGCGTATTGCATTCTATGTTTCTGAATATTCTCTTAACAAAAGTCAACTTCCGCTCTGGAAGCGATGGGCCTATCACTGTTAGTACATGTTAATTACTTTTCACTCCC